TCATCATCATCATCATCATCATCATCATCATCATCATCATCATCATCATCATCCACAACAACAACAACAACAACATACAATAAAGTAGAAAGATTTGTATAGTGGTGTAAAAACGATCATATTCCACTGAATGTTTCTGAAACCAAAACAAATGATAATAGATATCAGGTTTAAAAAGTGGGATCCCATCCAATGATCAATTAACGGAGAGCATGTTGGAATTAATTGTACGAATGTATAAATACCTCGGATTCACTTTTGATGATGAATTGAATTGGCATGAGCATTTGCAGAATTTTTGTATTAAAAAAAACAAAAACAAAAACAAAATATGAATTATACCAACGCATATATTTTCTGCAAATTTCATGACACCACCTTAACAGTAAGTATTCTATAGGCCTACCTCCATATTAAAAACGGCAATTTTTTTGGGGACATGTGTTGTAGGGGTGCCGCTGTAACAACCGGAGACTAAAAGAACACAATATAATAAATTAATGAAGAAAGAAGGGAAAATTGTAAATTTTGTATAAACTTCAAGATGTAAAAACCATCTATGTTGAACAATGTCTTCTAATACCAATGTACAAGATGTTCGGTGATCTTTTTGTAAATATATTATATAAATGAGTATTGTCTGTGTGTGAGAGTGGATACGTATTGAAGAGACAGGGAAAAAAAGCCTGACCTTTGGACCGTAATTTGTCTGTTTGTTTGCTTATGTGCTTGTTTGTTTGTTTGCTTGTTTATTCATTTATGTTTTGATTTTTAATTGTTTTGTGTTTGTTTGTTTGTTTGTGTGTTTTGTTTGTTGCTTGTTTGGATAAAAATAATGCATGTCAACACAAGAAAGATGTGTGTTGGAAAAAAAGCTAGTAAGGCAGGCAGATCTGAGGTATCGGTGGTCCAGTGGTTAGGCTGTTGTGTCCGCAACCGAAAGGGCGTGGGTTAGAACCTTGTCACAGGCCCGGCGTTGCGATAGATCACAGGGATCGTCCACTTCTGGTTCTTCAACCTACCATGCGACTAATTTTTAAAATGTAAGTGACTGTTTTTCACATTCAGTAGGGCCCTTTGCCGTGAGGTACCCACATTCCGATTTTGAAGGTGCTCTATGCGTTTTTATACAGATTAGAGTATTTTAAGTTTTTGTAGGAATTAATTCTGGATTTTTCACGGATTGTGGCAAAAGCCTACATATTGTTATCGATTTGAGGAACACCGAGATCTTTAGTATTTCCAACTTGCACATGGGACCTCCGAGATTTTTAGCCCTTTACCGAGGAGGCTATGTGTTCGATTTTGCCTACCCTAAGGTCAACAGTGTGACTGAAAGACAACAGTAAGAGTCAGAAGAAGGAGTAGAAAGAGTCAGGAGTAAAGGAGAGAGGAGCCCGGAGGAGGCCCAGGCTAGTAGTGGCGAAAGTGGAGATGAAAGAAGATAACAGAACAGTACTTGATAATTGGAAATGAGGTGAAAGGAAACAATTTTAGATAAGAAATTGTTTTCGTCCCTGGACCTCTAGTTTGAGAGGTGAACACTCGTACCTCTAAACCACAGCAGCCCCTATTATTATCACCTGCCTTAGACGCCACCCCC